TGTACCCTCTGAGCTGGGTATTCACCCTTGACTTTGAATCTGTTCTCTGGCAGACTCATACCATCAGAGTAGCACACTGGAAGAGAAAATAAAGAGTAAAGACAGGGTTGGAGGTTATGGGAAGGCCAATGTGGAGGAGGAAGAGAAACATAAGAGTTAATATGGATTAGTGTTTGGCTAAAGACATGGCTCATGTGGCTAAGTTGGTTGAGTGTCATCCCATACACAAAGAGGACAACTGGTTCAATGTCTGGGTTGTGGGTTCAGTCCTCAGTAGGAGTGTGCATGAGGTAGATGATCAATATTTCTCTCATTGTTATTTCCATCTCTCTCTCCTTTTCCCTTCCTCTTTCTCTAAAGATCAATGAAAACATATTTAAAGAAGGAGAAATGCAAGGCAGTGTGTGACTGTATAAAAACATGATGATTGGTCATAGACTGACACCTTTTGAACCTAGATGAATGGTACATAGGTTTTAATGATACTGTCGTTAACTACATGAACATGAGTGAAGATTTTCACAATAAATATATAAAACAAATGGACTTATTGGAAAGGTGAACATATATCATGTTTGAGAAGGAATCCCTATTTATATTTATTGACTTGATATAAATATTAATATATAGACTTTCTTTTCAATTTTTTATTTTTTAAAATATTCTTTTTTATTTTTCAATTACAGTTGACATACAATATCATGTATTGTTGTTAGGAGTACACCTAGTGAATAGACCTTATATAACTTACTAAGTTGTTATCGCAATGAATCACAGACCTATCTAATAAAATACCTGCATAGTTGTTAGAATATTATTAACTGTAATCACCCTGCTGTACTTCACATTTCCATAACTGTTGTGTTACTACCAATTGTACTTCTTAGTCCCTTCACCATTTTTTTACTGAAGTTCCCTATCCTCCTCCCACCTGGCAACCCTGAAAATATTCTCTGTATCTATGCGTTTGTTTCTGTTCTGCTTCTTCCTTAATTTTCTTATTTTTTAAAATTTTATTTTCTTGTTTAAAATATTCAAATAGTGGGACATATGCCTCTGTTTTTCCCAATTGACTTCCCCTACCCCCCGGCACGTGCCCTTACCTCCCCCCCCCTCCGCCCCCAGTGTCTTGTGCCTTTAAATCGATGATTGAGATCATGTGGTATTTTTCTTTCACTGCCCGGATTATTTCACTTAGCATAATGTTCTCCAGTTCCATCCATGCTGCTGCATATGGTAAGAATTCCTTCTTTTTTGTAGCAGCATAGTATTCCATTGTGTAGATGTACCATAGTTCTTTAATCCACTCATCTGCTGCAGTACAGATCTTTTATCTTGATGTAATATCATTTGTTTATTTTTTCCTTTGTTTCTCTTGCCCTAAGCCAGATTTGGGTAACCTTTATTCTGCCAAGGGACACTTGGATATATATAACCTCATTCACTTAATATAATTCACTTATAATAAATTTATGTTGCTATGAAAAGCTCCTAGATTTATTGAATTATGAGTCCTGTCAGCGGTTGCCTTGATTGGGCCAGACCAAATGATTTCACAAGCCTTATACTGCCTGTGAGCCACATGTTCCCTATCCCTGCCTTATACATTGTATCAATGAAAACTTTTCTAGGTGAGATTTCTGATATTTTGCTGAGCACCTTTTCATCTTTTCCATTTAGCTAGCCTATGTCTTCAGATTGGAGCATTTAAGACATTTGCATTTAAGGTTATTATTGATAGGTACATGTTTGTTGCAATTGTTATTCTTTATGTCTCTGTTCCTCCCTCTCTCTCCATTTCTTCTTGTTACAACACTCCCTTTAGCATACCTTGCATTGCTGTTTTGGTGGTAATGAATACTTTTAGTGTTGTGTGTTTGTGTGTTTTTTTTTACTGCAAAGCTTCTAATTTCACCTTCAACATTGAGTGATAGCCTTACTGGGTTTAGTAGTCTTGTATTTATTCCTCTGTATACTTCATGCCACCCTCTCTGGGCTGAAGTCTTTCTACTGAGAAATCTGCTCACAGTATCCTGGGAGCTCCCTTGGTAGATAACTTTCTGTCTCTCTTACAGTCTTTAAGATTCCTTCTGTGTTGGAAGAATTCAGGAACCAAGATGGAGTAAACGCTGGTACTGCACCACATCAAAATTACAACTAAGATACAGAACCACCATCATTCAGAATCTCCTGATATCTTTCTGAATGGAAGTCCTACAACTAGAGAGTTAAAGAAGAAAGCACATTGAGACTGGTAGAGGAGTGAAAGAATGGAATGGGCTAGTTTGATACCCATGAGTTGTGTGTTTTTAATTGGGAGTGTTATCTTGGCTGAAGAAACCTCCTGTGTTGAGCATGGGTCCCAGCCACACACCAGGCCCCCAGTCCATGGTTTTAAAGCCTGGAAGAGAAGTCCCCATAACTTCAGGCTGTAAAAACCAGTGGGAATTGTGGCTGAGTGACATGGAGCTGCTGGAGTCCCAGGCAGTTCCTCTGAGAGATCCCACACATGAACTTACTTCGATCGTCTCCCTGAGCTCCAGTGTTGATGCAGGAACTTGATATGATCCAGGGACCTACAAGGAGAAACTTACTTGTATGGTATTAGGGCAAGAATTTGGGGTCAGCTTTGTCTAGAAAAAAGTGCTGGAGCCTCCCCCCACACCAGGCACAATAACTCAGTCTCCATCATCTTGGCCCATACTGCTTGCCCCAAACTGGTGATTCACTGAGATCATGCCCCACCCAAGTTGTTTGCAGTGGCTTTTCCACATGAATGGCATGTTTGGCTCAGATTTCAAATTTTCCTTAAAGCTCTCACATAAACGGCAGCTGGAATCAGACTTAGCCATACCTCTTGACAAGTGGCTTGATGCCTAGCACAAGCAGCAGCTTGCCAAGGTTCAGAGCGTGGCCTCTCCTGGGGACCTCCTGGGCCAACACAAGCAATAGCCATCTCCAAATCATTCTGTAGCTTGTGCTGGGTAACCTTAGGCAGGTCACAGGCTATGGCAGACTTTTCAACTTAAGGGAAGCTCCAATGTCAGTGCACCTTGTGGAGAGCTTCATACCATACCAGATTACAATCCTTCCATATCCATGAGTGACAAAGGGGTGGACTGTTGAGCATCAAAGCTCCACTGAAGCAAGTTCTGCTCCATAGGGGTGTTTCCTGCAAAGCAACTCTTGTACTGTAGCTGTAGCTAGTCCTCACAGCTAGTTGGCCTGGGGGTCAATTCCACCCAGTGACACCATTAGAAATCAAGGCTCAACTAAAATAGGACAGTGCAAAGAGATCACACAGGGTTGTACCTAGAATTCCCAGATTAGGAGAGGCTTTACAAGGGATGCTGAGTCACTGGGTCCTATAGGACAGCTACTATACAACGCCAGTCTACCAATTTCAGGAAACATAGCAGTTCCACAGAATACACAGAAACAGCCAAGATGTGGAAACAAATAAACATGTCACAAATGAAAGAAGGGAAGAAATCTCCAGGAAAAGAAGTAAATAAAATAGAAGGAAGCAAACTACTATATACAGAGTTCAAAACAATGGTTATAAAGATGCTCAAGGAACTTAATAAGAGCTTCAAGGATCTTGGTGAGAATGTCAAGGAACATAGTGAGAATTTCAAGGAAATCAATGAGAACATCAAAGACATGAAAAAGTACCTGTAAGAAATGAAGGATACACTAACTGAAATGAAGGATAATTTACAGGGAATCAACAGTAGAATAGAGGATTCTCAAAATCAAATCAGTGATTTAAATAATGAGGAATCAAAAAAACCCATCCAATCAGAAGAGCAAAAAGGAAAAAGAATCCAGAAAATATGAAGATAGTGAAGGGGCCTTTGGGACAACTTCAAGAATACCAACATTCTCATAATGGAGTGTTGGAATGAGAACAAATTTAAAACCTATTTTAAAAAAACATAATGACAGAAAATGTCCTCCACTGGTTTAAGAAATAGACATACAAGTCCAGGAAGCGCAGAGAGTCCCAAATAAGATGAACCCAAAGAAGCCCACTATATGACATATCGTAATTAAAATGTAAAAGTTTAAAGACAAAGAGAGAATCCTAAAAGCAGTAGCAGAAAAGCAATTTGTTACCTATAAGGGAGTTCCCATATGACTGTCAACTGATTTCTCAACAGAAACTTTGCAGGCCAGAAGGGAATGTCAAAATATATTCAAAGTGATGAAAAGCAAGGACCCAGAATCAAAATTACTCTACCCATAAAAGCTATCATTTAGAATTTAAGGTCAGATAAAGACCTTCATAGAGAAGAAAAAGCTAGAGGAGTACATCACCACCAAACCAGTATTACAAGAAATGTTAAAGGGTCTTTTTAAGAAGAAGTATAAAGATAAAAAATATGAACAATAAATGGCAATAAATACATATCTATCAATCATTGAAGCTAAAAATTCAAATAAAGAAACAAGGAAACTAATGACCAAAATAAACAGGTGAATAAAATGAAACCAGAGGCATAGAAACATGGAAAAGACTGATGAATCTCAGAGTAGTGTGGGGAGGGTGAGCAGGAAGAGATTCACCAAATAACTTATATTCATTATCCATGGACACAGATAATAGGATGGTGAATGCCTGAGGCCGGGCAGATACAGGTGGAGGAGGGAAATGGGGGAAAAAATGGGAGGGATATCTGTAATACTATCAACAATAAAGATATGAAAAAAAAGATTCTTGGTTTTTAACATTTGCCATTTTAATTATGATGTGTCTTTCTGTGGGTCTTTTGGATGCATCTTTATTGTGACTTTCTGTGTTTCCCTGACTTGTGTGACTTTTTTCTTCACCAGGTCAGAGAAGTTTTCTATCATTATTTTTTCAAAAAGTTTCTCTATTCCTTGCTCAGATTCTCCTCTTTCTGGTACCCCCAATAAGCAGGTGTTCTTTTGTTTCATGTTGGCCAAAACTCCCTTAAACTCTCCTCCTGCTTTTTAACTTTTTTTTCAATTGTTGGTCTGAATGGGTGTTGTTTTCCCACTTTGTCCTCTAATTCACTGATTTGTTTCTCAGCTTCTTCACTCTGGTATTGAATTCTTTCAGGTTATTCTTTATTTCATTTATGCCATTCTTCATTTCGACTTGATTCTTATTTATTGTTACAATCTCATCTTTCATGTTGGTGTACTTCTTATTAAGTTTCTTATAATTTTCATTAAGTTTCTTAAAGTTATCATTCAATTGTTTGAGCACCCTTATACCCATTACTGTGAATTCTTTATCTAATGTATTGCTTGCCTCCATTTCATTTAGTTATTTTCTGGTGATTCCTCCTCTTCTTTCATTTGGTGGTCATTTCTTTGTCTCCCTATTTTAACAGTCTGGTAGTCTGGGCCATGGGGTGAGGCAGGCAGGGTCACAGAAGTGGGCTCAGGTGTCCCGAAGTAATTGGTTGCACCAAGTCCAGCTGTAGGTTTGATCTTATGAAACCAGGTTAGGTGGGTCAAGTTGTTGTGGCAGGTCCAGTTACTCTGGGTCAGGCATAGTGTGTCACAGTTACATGTGTTTGGTGGCTTTGAGTCACGGTGATAAGGCCACGCACACCACTTCAAGGAGGTGGGGCCAGTTGTTTAGAGCACTATGTTGGGTGTATTGAATTGGGGCAGCAGGTCCCTGTGTTTTGGCAAATTACATGTTAAGGTAATGGAGTGGGTCTGGTGCTCTGCTTGTGTAGGGAGTGTGGTGGGATAAGAACTGCTGCACTTCTGGGTGGGAAGTGGGCCAGGCCTAGTGCTACTTCATTGGTGAGGGTGGTAGGCCAGACCAGCGGCTGCTCCACTTGGTCAGGGTGGCAGGCCAGGCTGGGTACGGTTCCACGTGTATATTTAGCAGGCCAGGATGGGTGCTGCTTTGCTGATAGAGTGGGGACAAGATGGGCCAGGTGCTGCTCACTTGGTCTTTATTGCCATCTTTTGTTCATATATATAGTTTTTTCTCCTTGTTATTTAACATTTCATGTAACACTGGTTTGGTGGCAATGAAATCTTTTAATTTTTTCTTTTCCTGGGAGCTGTTTATATATCCTTCAAATCTAAATGATGTTGTTCTTGCTTTTCATAAGTTTAAATATTTTTTGCCAATCCACTTGTCATGCAGAGTTTTTGTTGAGAAATCTTCTGACAGTCTTATGGGAGCTCCCATGTAGGTAACTAACTGCTTTTATTTTGCTTCTTTTAAGATTCTCTGTCTTTAACGACTTGCTATTTAATTATGTAGCAGGCTTCTTTGGGTTCATCTTGTTGGGGACTCTGTGCTTCTTGGATATGTATTCTATTCCATTCAGAGGTCAGGGGAGTTTTATCTGCCACATGTGCATGTGGGAACAGTGTGTTTGACCAGCCTGTTCAGTGTCTCTTTCTCTCCTACCAGTCTCAGTGGCTTCTTCTTTATATCCTTAATTGTAGGATTTCTGTTAAGCTAGATTTCATGTGGTTTGGAATGATTGGTGTTCTTTTGTTTAGTTGTGTTATGATGTGAATGTGGGCGAATGAGAGTACAATTAAATCTTGATATACCTACATGAGAATAAACTCTGTGTTTTGCACTCACAACTGTAATCAGACTCCCCCCGCCCCATATATTAAAGACAATAAGAAAAATAATAATACAATGGAAGTGTTTTAAAATTTTTTTTCTTGAGGAATGTGACCATATAACTTATTATTTAAAATAGAAAAGAAATCCAATTGTACAAATAAGCAATTAAAACCAAGGCTTCCCATCAAGATGACAGAGTAGGTAAATGCGGTACAGTAAGCCCTGGATTTTGCAGACCTTGATTTTATAGATTTCAGATTTAATAGAGAGTTTTCTTTATGCATTATTTTAATTGTAAATTTAAATTACAATTTGTTCATATGTCAAATGTCATATGTCTGGTTCATATGTCATATGTGATCATTAATACCATGTTAATTTTTGAATGCTCTAAACCAAAATTTGCTTATACTTAATAGGTTAAGGTGTGTTAGTAATTCACTTTTATTTTTAACAATTTTAGTGAATAGGCCATACATTGGGGAAAAACACTAAAGTAATTTCATTAAAAGAACTGAATATTACATATCTACAACTATAGTCTACATATTTAAAATCAGGAGTCACTGGTAATAAACAGTGTTTGGTGAATGGTTAGCACATGATTCGACTATATTACATGGGGTACTTGGTCCTATTGACATGTGGCTGACTTTCTGCAGGAGTTTTAATGCACACCGGCCAGTTCCAACATGCACTAAGCCATATTCCAGTTGTGTGCATTTGTTAACTCATGGTGACTGATGAATGCATGTATTTATTAGACTTATTCAATATAAATTTACAATTAAAATAATGCATAAAGAAAACTTTTCTGTGAAATTGAACTTTCCATATATACTTAATTTTAATTACACAAATGTGTCTATATAAGCAGAAAGAAGTAAACTAATAAAATTGTCAAATTTTTAATATATTAATTTTAATTACACAAATGTGTCTATATAAGCAGAAAGAAGTAAACTAATAAAATTGTCAAATTTTTAATATACACATTCAGAATATTTACTTTATTATGTAGTGGAATTTTGGACTTATCAGCCAAATTAGTAGTTATATAAGTTTTACTTTATAGTAGTTATTATCATTGTTTTATTTATTTAGTATTAATGTACTTTTGCCTACTCCTGTCTATGTCCATACCACAAATTGTTTCTTGTCCTAACTCCTTCCTGTGTTCCGTTTTACATCTAATTGTGCCAAATTGCAAGGGTCAAGTATCAATTGGCCTTCAAATTTCTAACATGTAGGTTCAGTAGAATTAAGTGGGAAAAAATAGTTTTCCATGAAAAAGTGTGAACATAGAAAGGGAGACTTTATCAATAATGGGAAAATTGGTTTCAGAATAAAGATGTCAAGGCAAGTTAAATGACGACATAATAAATGAATGCATAATCCAGGAGTTGAAAGTTCCTTAATTAGGCATTTTTCATTCAATTATGTTTTCCCAATGTGTAGTACAGTGTCAGCACATTATGCATGTTTTTGTTTTTTTTTAATTCATGGAAGAAAGTAATAAATCACTATTGTCATAAAGGCTTGTACCAGATTTCTCATGTGCTCAAATATTTGCAATTTTGAGGCAAATAGTTTGTATTTCTCATATAAGATATGTATTTTTGCTTATGATATAAATACACTTATATGAAGGCTGAAGTTGAGAATTACCTTGCCATCCTAAAACTGTGGGGATTCAGATGTTATTGTTTCATGAGAAAACATTACCCCTACAAAGCTTTCCTCCATCCTTTTGATTTCCTTGGCATTTCTGAAGGTATTTTATTTTATCTTCAGTGCACTCCCATCTCCAATTGCTGCCCTTCTAGTTTGATTTTGTTACATTTTACATCGTGCTAAAAATGTTGTTCTTAAGAATATAATCTATACTAATAAAAGGGTAATGTGCTAATTAGACTGAATGTCTTCCAAATGACTTTCTGGATGTCCTTCTTGACAAATTCGAGTCTGAGCAAAGCCGACCAGGGTCTCAGGTGCCTGAGGCCGGCCAGAAGGAGGGAAGCCTGGGTCCTGGGTGTGGGGGCCGAGACAGAGGAGGTTAGGGGCAATCAGGCCAGCAGGGGCACAGTTAGGGGGAAAGAGGCCAACAGGGGATCATTTAGGGGCCATTAGGCAGGCAGGCAGAAGTGAATAGGGGTGATCAGGCAGGCAGAGGTGATTAGGGGCAATCAGGCAGGCAGGCAGAGGGGTTAGGGGTAATCAGGCAGGCAGCCAGGCTGTCTGGTGAGCAGTTAGGGGTCAGTGGCCCTGGATTGCGAGAGGGATGTTTGATTGCTGCAGGGATCAGGTCTAAACTGGCAATCAGACATCCCCCCGGGGATCCTGGATTGGAGAGGGTGCAGCAAGGGCTGAGGGACAACCCCCCACTCCCCATGGATGAATTTCATGCACTGGGCCTCTAGTAAGATATAAACACATATAAGTAATATCCATATAACCCATGTTACTATTCAAGTACCACCATTGCCTATTGTTGGCTGAACATTATGGTACATAATACAATATGTAAATGACATTGAAAAATTCTTTTTATATCCCCACAGTTTTGTCAAATTGACCAATCTCTGTACCTTAATTAACACCTCCCTTCTCACTCTTATTGATAGCTGAACACATTGCAGGAGGATCACGAGCACTCTCATCTTTTCATATTACACAGTGTTTTACCTAACTGTTAAAGACATGCCTTAAAATTAAACACCCATTGCATTTTGAAGTTATTGATTACATGTTCTCACAAGCTAATATCTTTTTAAAGTATGATACTTTGTAAAACATTTTCTGTATTTGTTCAATAGAAACGTATGTGGCCACTGGGTAAAGCTAGCAATAAATACTGGTGCACAATGTGTTAGGTCACAGTTTTAGAAAATATGAGTAACTATCAATTAAAGCACCATTTTGTACCTTTCAACCAAGTAAAAGATACTGGAATATGAAATCCTAAGTGTCAAAGATACCCCTCAAGGGGTGAATACTTGGTAAAGATTCCTGTCTGTTTGTGTGTGTGTGTGTGTGTGTGTGTGTGTTTATATTCTTGCATACATAAATCTAACTGCTTCTTTCCTTGACATGAAATTCTTGAGTTACTTACCAGCAGAAACTTTAATGGTTCCATGGTGCTTTCTAGCTATAGCCATACTCCTTGATAGTTTGTTTTTTCCTTTGAGATCACCCCATTTTGTCTTTGGATTGATATATTCCGGATGTAGTTACCTAGCAGCAAGACTTTCCCAGTTCTACAGACCATGGCAACTGCTTAAAGTTCCTCCTCATTATGACTCCACCATCTCCATTAAACTTTCATTTTAACTATTTTTCAATAGGAATAAATGTGACTTGTCTCCATTCCCTATGCTTCCTACAGTATAAACATTTTAGCTTTAATAATGTTGATTATACTGTTGCCTTGGTCTCAGATTATTTCCTCAACAATGAAATATACTGTTGTTCAAGTATATCAAGTTCCTGAAAAAGGTTTAACACAATTTAGAATATTTTACATCAGAATTAGAATCCTAACATGAGTAATCATCAGTAACTTTCTCTATAATGTCAATGAATTAACAGAGACATTTCATATCTGCACATAAATATGTCTCATTTGTGAAGAATACCACTGTCAGTATGAAAAGCATATTTAGGAGAGA